CAGTGCCCATCACCCAGTCACCCCAACCCCCACCTTTAGGCTTGAGGTTCTTCTTCATTCTCTGGTGTAGATAAGGTCAGTTCCCTCGGGAAGAGAGTAGGAGCTGTTTTAAGGCCAGTTTCTATCCCCAGGCAAACCTCTGAGCCAGGGTTCTGGAACCAGGGGTGAAGACAAAGGCAAGCTTCTCTCTAAATAATACCCCTACTTTAGATGGGGAGACAGGGGAGGGAGAAGCTTGAGGTCCTCTCAGCTTACCTTTCCTGTTGTGGAACGCCACCTCCTGAACGAGGGCAGGGCTAAGAGGGCCCCAGTATTCTCAGCACACAGCACTCAAGGTGCAATAATAAGGTTGCCTTATTATTGTTCCATGAAAGGAGGGAGGCTGGGCAGAGGGGAGTTGCCACCTCTCAGACACAGTCACCCACTTAGCCTCAGCATTAGGTAGCTGGAACAGCTTGAGAAATGCTGACATCCTGCTCCTCCCAGGAAGAATGGCCTCCCACTGGGGCTAGGGGGAGAGGGGCCCTGTGTTGTCGGTCTGGGAGGAAAGGGGACCAGTGTTCTTGGTCTGAGGTGAAGGGGGGCTCTTTGTTGTTGGTCTGAGGTGAAGGAGGGCCCTGTGTTGTTGGTCTGAGGTGAAGGAGGGACTCTGTATTGTTGGTCTGAGGTGAAGGGGGGCCCCGTGTTGTTGGTCTGAGGTGAAGGAGGGACTCTGTATTGTTGGTCTGAGGTGAAGGGGGGCCTGTGTTGTTGGTCTGGGGAAAGGGGGGCCCTATATCATTGGTCTGGGGGGCAGGAGCCCCATATTGTTGGCCGCAGTGGTCTGGACAGGAGTCTTCACCTCATTGAACCAAAACTAGGGTAAAGGGAAGGAGTGGTCTTGGTTCAAATACCACAGACTCTCATCCTTTTTACCAAATTTTCATGAATGTTCTTAAATGTTTTGTTTTTTTTGTTTTCATTTTCTGTTTACCTTCTGGACCATTTTCAGAAGCTTTAAATATTTTGTGGGCCTCCTGCACTAGTTTTTGCAGGTTTCATGGGGTAGCAGGTCTGAGGAGCCCCTTGTGCCAACCTGCGGGTGTCTATGTCTGAAGGCAGAGGTTTGTTTTGTGTTAGTTTTTTTTCTCAATCTCTCTGTTACATGCACAAAACCTTATGTAGAGCTTGGGCCAGAATAGAGGCTCAGGAAAGAAGTCCTCCAATCTGCCTCCTTGGAGTGTCAAGGGTGTAGTCCAATCAAATGATGACAGAACTCTAGCTTTCACAGAATTCGCGATTCGGGGACCTCCCCACCCCAGCTCCGGACCCGGAGAGGGAGGCCATGATCCATTTCTCTGTCCTTGCCTCCTGGTTTCAAGCTGCCATTTCTGACTCTCTTCCCCATAGGATCAACCCTGAGGGAGACGGAGTGTATTTGTCTCCTGTAGCTTCTATAACAAGTCTCCACAAGCTTTGGAGGCTTCAACAAGGCAAGATTGGGGATGCCTGGGTGGCTCAGTGGTTGAGTGTCTGCCTTTGGCTCAGGTCATGATCCTGGGGTCCTGGGATTGAGTCCCACGTCGGGCTCCCTGCATGGAGCCTGCTTCTCCCTCTGCCTGTGTCTCTGCCTCTCTCTGTGTTTCTCATGAATAAATAAATAAAATCTTCTAAAAAAACCAAAAACAATGCAAGAGTTTTCTCTGTAGTTGTAGAGGCCAGAAGTCCAAAATCAGTGTCACTGGCCTACTGTCAAGGCGTGGGCAGGCTGGCTCCTTCTGGAGCCTCCAGGAGAGAATCCAGGCAGGGCCTCCTTGCTTCCAGAGCTGTGTGACTCACACCCCTTGGCCCAGGGCCCCTTCCTCCATCTTCGAAGTGGGGGTCCGGCCTTGGGCTTGGGGCACAGACCTGCTTCTCCCGGGTCCGATCTGCCCCCCTGGCCTGGATAATCGGGATCCTCTTCCCATCTCAAGATCCATACCTGAGCCACATCTGCAAAGTCCCTTCCTCAGATGAGGGAACATTCACAGGGCTCAGGGATTGGGCTCTGGGTGTCTTGGGGCCATTAATCGGCCTGCCACAGGGAATTAGGGCCTAAAGACCGAGAGAGCCTTGTGTGGCTGGCTCTGCTGTGCATGGCTTGGCTAGTGAGCAATGCTGATTTCTTCCCTCCTGTGGGCAGCTTTTGAGGGACTTCCATTGGGACCCCAGCTATGATTCCCATGGTGGGCTTGATGATCTCCCAGCTGCCAGATCTGATGCCCCCACATTCTAGGCCTCCCATCTACCCTCTGTTGGGGTGCCCGAAGTCCCCAACAGTCTCCCCAGTCAAGTCCCATCTGGTGGGGGTCCTGCTTTGTCTCTGGGAATCTGGTACATTTGTACCCCAGCATGCTCACCCCAGCATGGCTCTCTTGACTGTGTGCAGCCCAGGCTCCAGGCTGAGGTCATGTGACACAAGGATTCCAGCCTGGCCTGGCTCAGGTCTGCCCAGGCTTGAACCCCAGCCCTGCCATGTACTAGCCATAGGCCCTTTCGAGAGAGCTACCTACCTTTTTGCGTGTGACCTGGCACAGAATAAATACTTTGAAAAAGACAAAATAAACCAGCCAGCTGGCCCACAGGCCCCAGGGGACACATGCTTGGCTTCATCAAGAGAACCTTCCCCATGCCTGCATCTGGGTCCCTCAGATTTGGGCTAGGGGTGGATCCCAATCCCCTGGTTGCACCATTCTGAGGCTTTGAAACCTAAGCTAAAACTGAGCCGGAAAGAAGAGCCTTATAACATCCTGTCACGCTGGGGTCTGGGGCAGGAGGAAGACAGGGAGGGGCCAGACAGAGAGACCAGGAAGGGGCCTTGGGATGCTAGCCCAGGCCTGGCTGTCTGGGGCTCCGGGGCGGGCGATGGCTTCTCTATGTTCCTCTTCTTGCCCAACGACTTTTGTCTGTTTTTAAACTGAATCTTTTATTTTGAGATAGCTGTCGATTCACATGTAGCTTATCAACTTTTTACATAGCAAAATTTCAAGCCTTACAGAAAAGCTGTGAGAAAGGCACAAGGATGTGCTCACCTGCTTTCACCAATTCATATCTGATTGAGTTCATGGTTGTTGTTATTGTTGTTTTTGAAAGATTTTATTATTTATTCATGAGAGACACAGAGAGAGGCAGAGACACAGGCAGAGGGAGAAGCAGGCTCCCCGCGGGGAACCCGATGTGGCACTCGATCCCAAGATCCTGGGATCATGACTTGAGCCAAAGGCAGATGCTCAACCGCTGAGCCACCCAGATGTCCTGAGTTCACGGTTTTTAATCTATAGTCTATAACTATACAGACATGCATAGAAATAAATGTGGAAGTCTGGACATACTCTGTCCACCAGGAACTACATTTCTAAAGTCTCGTAGAGGATGAGTCTATTACATATATGTATATAACGAGTTTCTATATGAGTGTGTTTATACATGATGAGTGTGTGTGTTTGTGTCCCCCCAGCTCTGCCTGTGTAGTGGGTCTAGAAACATTGTTAGCCCCCAGAGTGCTAAATGCAGCTAATATCAGCTCAATTCTGGTTAAACACTATCTTCCACCTCTTCAGAAGTGGCTGATTCCAGGGCTGGCACAGGAGAAGTCTAGGATGAGCCTAGAACATACTGGCAGAAGGGAAGTGCTCAGAGAATGACAGGCGCTTGGCAGAAGGACAAGGAGGCAGCCACACAAAGCTGAAAGGGGCTCCACTGGCCAACTCCGGGACAGTTTGAGCATCCCATTTCAATCACTGTAGTCATGGATTCTAACCCATTGACAAAAACAGGAAAACGTGATACAACCATATTGATAGAAATGAAGGAGGAAAAACTCTTACAGAAAAAAACAGTGTGACTTCACACTGATCCATCCAGCTCTTGTCCAAGAGCCCTACAGGGCTCTTCCTCACTTTGTCTTTCTAGGTTTGTGTCTCCTTTCTTTCCTGGAGAGAACCAGGGTTCGAAGCAACACCACCTCATTTATCCATTTATGCTCTTGCCCACCATACTCATGCAGTTGTTGCAGTAATGCTACGCTGATGCCATGGCCTGTAACAAACCTACTCAGGAGAGGTCAACAGTTACTTGCAGTTCTTTTTGACTGCAAAAAAGGTCTTTAAGGTCTCAGTCATGCTGAGGATGCCTGGTGTTTAAACTGGAAGAGGTACTGGGGCCCCTGAGTGGAGTGAGGAGTTGAGCATCTGACTTTGGCTCAGGTCATGATCCTGGGGTCCTGGGATCGAGTCCTGTAATGGGCTCCTGTGGGGAGACTGCTTCTCCCTCTGCCTATGTCTCTGCCTCTTTCTGTGTGTCTCTCATGATGAAATAGATAGAATCTTTAAAAGTAAATAAATAAAAATAAACTGGAAGAGGTCCTTTCTGAATTGGGCTTTGGTGGACGAATAGGAGTCTCCCGGGGAGAGAAAAGAGAAGAGGGCCCAAGGTGAAAGGACACACAGGTACAAAAGGCAGGGGAATGAAAGAGCAATGTGGCCCCCCTACTATGGCTGGGGCCCAGTGTTTGTTCACAACACGAGGGGATATAACAAAGGATGGAGATGAGCAGTGCTGGGTATGGGTAATGGCTTGGAAGAGCCTTGAATGTCAGACAAGGAGCTTGGGGTTGGTGTAACAGGCCCTGAGGGAGTCCTGAGAGGCATCAGAGTTTAGAAAATGTGGGGGACAGATTGGCAAGTTGGTGGGGGTGGTTGGGACCTTGAGACGCCTTGCCTGAGGAGTCAGGAGGGCTCTTCTTCTCTGGAAACCTCCGTATGTCATGTGTAACATGGGTGAGAAGAGGAGACCCACTCCCAGGGCTGCGCAGGGACTCCCCAAGAGCCATATCTGGCCCTTTGGGGTGTGAGGTAGAGGCTGGGCCGCTCACATGCTCTCTGTGCTCAGTGATGTGTCTGCTTCCTGTTTCTCCTCCCTCAGGGGCAGCTTCAAAAGAACAACGCGCTCTCAAAACAAAGGAAGACAGTCCTCCACTGCAGAGGAAGCAGGAAGAGCCGACCCTGCTCGGAGCCCAGCTGCTGGGGCCTGGGGACAGCGCGATGGAGTCGGTGGCCCTGTACAGCTTCCAGGCCACGGAGAGTGATGAGCTGGCTTTCAACAAGGGGGACACACTCAAGGTAGGGTGGCTGACCTGGGTCCACATGGAGTGGGGGGCGGTGGTTAAGAATAGGGGCCTGGGACAGCGCCCCAAACAGAGTCCAGCTTCTGGGGGAGGACAGGCCCGGCTTCTCCAGCTGTCGGCTGCGGGATTCTGGACAAGCCACCTCCGCTGAGCCTCAGTGTTCCCATCTAGGAAATGGGGGGATGACTACGACCCTTCCTTGGAAGGGGGGCCCGCGTTGTGAGGATTCAAGGAGATATTAGCACAGTCCCCGGCAGGGAGTCGCTTCAACACCCAGTTTCCCTGGGAAGAGTTTGAAAAGACAGTTGGAGAGAGAGAGGGAGGGATCGAAAAGCTTTTGGGGTGAAGTGCACACGCTCTACAGGGCGCTAAAAGAACCGTGATTTCGGTGTAGAGAATGGCTTCCCGGCAGCGCGGAGGGAAGGGCAGAGAGCCCGCATCCGGCCCTTTCTGACGAGCACCGCGGCCTTGTCAGGCGGCCGGGCCGGCGCGGCGCGGGACTGTCTCCGGGAAACGTCCCTGCTCACAAGTGGGCCGTGCGCCGAGGTCGGGGCGGTCAGAAGTCTCTGGCGCTGCCGCTGCCAGGCGGGGGGACATCGCTGCCCCTCCCTGGGCCTCAGGCCTGCGCAGCAGAGTAGTGTGCATTAGACCCGCTCTCTCCACCCCGCTGGGCCCCGCTCTCGGCCCCAAGCTTCAGGCACAAACAGGGACAGGGACTCCCATTTGCTGGCACCCTGCTAGAGCCAGGCCCCGAGCTCAGCTACGCACAAGGTCCCGTTCACGCTGCTGAGGTGGGGAGGTGCAGCGCCCCCACTTCACAGGTGTCTAAGCTGAGGCATAGGGAGCTGGCATGACTTGCCTGGCATGGGGTCAAATGTGAACCCACGTTCTTTGATTCTGGAACCTTCGTTCTGTCCCCGTGAGACTGAACAACCGGGGCTGGGGTGCAGGAGTGAGATGCTCCCCAAGAGGAACCCTGTCCCTGTAAGGAATCCTGCTCCTCTCTGTGCCAGGATGCCAGCACCTGCATCCACCTGAGCTGCTGGCTGGGGGCCCTGGGGACATGTGGCCGGCTAGGGACAGGGGCAGGCTTAGCACCAGCACTACCTAGCCAGGGCATGAGATGTAGAGCTAGGTCTACATCAGAGGCCTCATTGACATCTGGGGTCTCTAGACCCAGACTGGGGGCTTGGTGGAGAGTGGGGCAGTGGGGAAATAAGAATGAGGTAGGTGGTAGGCTCCAGCCGAGGCTCAGAGATCAGCCAGTGGTGGGCAGGGTGGATCACATCCCCCAAGGCAATTGTAGCAAAGACTGTGACACCCCACTTCCCTCCTGGACTCCTGTGCCCAGGACCCCAAGATGACTCAAGGTTCCCACTAACTTCTGCTAAAGCGTTTGCCAGCTCCCGGTGTGTTTCTTCTAACAGAGGTGCTGGCTAAGGGAGGTGTGAGCTCATGAGGCAGGGACACCCTGGAGCTCCAGGACCTAAAGCAGTGCCTGGCCCACAGGAGGCTCTTAGTAAGATGTGGGCAATGTTGCAGGAAAGAAGAAAGGATGGAAGGATTTAAGTGTTAGCTGAAACCGGGACATCTCTCCCGGTGGAACTGAGCACCTTGTGTCCACAGAGACCAATGCAGGGCCTTCCAGGCTCAGAGAATGATGGAGGAACGTCAGGCAGTGAGAAGACCTGCCTTTTTCTCCCTCCCTTCCTTCATCCCTCAGACACGTGTCAAGCTATTGAGCACATACCTGTGCCAGGCATTGCCCTAAGTACTGGGGTTACAGCAAGGAACAAAGCAATCTCCCTGCTGTCCTGGAGCTGACACTCCAGAGAGTGAGTGACATCAGCAAGTGGTAAATGGATTGAAGAAATTCATGCAGGGAGATGCGTGAGCATGACAGCGGGTGGGAGGGGGCAGGGGCACAGCTTTAGATGGGCTGGTCAGGATGGTCTCTCAAAAGAGTTCAGACCTAGGGGCACATGGATGGCTCAATCAACGGAACGTGTGACTCTTGATCTTGGGGTCATGAATTCGAGCCCCACGTTGGGCGTAGAGCACAAAAAAAGAGATAACACCTTAGCTGAGCCCCAAAAGATGAGCAGAATCAGCCATGCAAAGAGCCGGAGGAAGAGAACCCTAGGTGCGGGGGTGTCAGGGGGGACCAGCTGGTGCAAAGGCCCTGAGGCAGGACCATTATTAGTGTGTTTGAGGAGTTGAAAGGTCTGTGACTGAAGAGCAGTGAGGGAGAAAGAGAGGGTAAGGATGATGTTGGGAGGTAGGCAGGCATCAGGGCCTGTGAAAGATTTGTATTTCATTCTTAATTTGAGGCATGCTCACTGAAGAGTTTTCAGCAGGGAGAAAAACTTGATCAGATTTACATTTTCAAAAGATAACAGGGGATGGGAATGGAAGCAGAGCTGGGCTCTTGTCTACTAGGCAAAAAATGAAAATGGCTTAAACCAAAAAAAAAAAAAAAAATCCTGACGAAATATCAATGTCCTTGATCTGTAAAGAGCTTTTATAAACCAATAAGAAAAACCACAAACAGCATAACAGAAAAATGGACAAAGGATATGAACTGGAAAGTTGCAAAAGAAACAACGTAAGCCAGTAAGTGCCCAATTTCACCAGTCACAAAAGCCATGCAACTTAAAGCAAGTAACTGTTTTCCATTTGACAGATCAGTAAAATGTTATTAAAAAAAAAAATCTCCGGGATCCCTGGGTGGCGCAGCGGTTTGGCGCCTGCCTTTGGCCCAGGGCGCGATCCTGGAGACCCGGGATCGAATCCCACATCGGGCTCCCGGTGCATGGAGCCTGCTTCTCCCTCTGCCTGTGTCTCTGCCTCTCTCTCTCTGTGACTATCATAAAATAAATTAAAAAAAAAATCTCCAAGGTTATTGACACTGTGGGAAAATACACACTCTTACATGTGAGTGGTGGACAGGTACAATGATACAACCCTTTGGAGGGAACTTGGGGAACATAAAGCCGTAAAAATATCCATGTCCTGTGACCCAGAAATTCTGCCTCTGGGAAACTGAGACATAATCAGAGACATATGTATGTTTCCTCATAAAGGACTCAAGGAGCACTCAGTGTGTCTGCTGTCCTGGTCTAGGCAGTGACAACTGAGCAAGGAGAGAATGGGCACAGTCACTGCTCATGCAGCCGGTGTTCTGGTGGCAGACGAGGGCCACAAACCAGATGAGGAACAGAGTTTGTAACATATAGAGTTTGTCAGATGGAGGCAGCGGGTGGGGCAAAGAAGCCTGTGAAACGTGGGGAAGCTTGGGGCCCAAGCCCGAGTATGGAATCAACCCAGACTGCCTGCTTAGGGATGGTACCAAAGATCAGACAGCCCCGAAAATGCTATTTAATGGCATAAAAAAAGCTCATGATGCAATGTTAAGTGGCAAAACACAGAATGCAAACGTATCTGCACAGAAGGTCAACTCTACATAGATAATCGATAGGTAATAATTTTGTGGAGGGATTGATTTTGGGGAGGGAAAACTGTCTGTCCTGCACTGCATCTGGTGCCCCCCAAAAAAAACTAGAAAGAAATGATCTGAAAAGCTAGCAGTGGTCTGTTTGGGGAGGTGGGCCATGAGCTATTCCTGGTTTTCTTTTTCTTCTCCCCCTTTTTTTTTTTTTTTTAGATTTTATTTATTTATTCATGAGAGAGAGAGAGAGAGAGAGGCGCAGAGACACAGGCAGAAGGAGAAGCAGGCTCCATACAGGGAGCCCGATGCAGGACTCGATCCCGGGACCCCAGATCATGCCCTGGGCTGAAGGCAGATGCTCAGCCACTGAGCCACCCAGGCGTCCCCACATTTTTCTTCTTCACTCTTTCTGCATTTCCCACATGTTGTGCAAGAGGCGAGCATTCCTTCCAGGGCCAGCTGAGGTGGTCACTGGGACGGCGCTGCCATGGCTGTGCAAGTGCAAGGTCACGTTCAGATCTGGATGGAATTTTTTTTTTTTTTTTGCGTTAGCTTTTAAACAGACTTTATTTTTCAAGACAGTTTTAGATTTACAGAAAAATCAAGGAGATAGTACAGAGGCATCTGGACCCATCTCCCCCAGTTGGTAAACGTCGGATGCTCTGAACATCCATCGGCTGTTACATTAAAGGATTGATATTGATACATTACTGCTAATTAATGAATGTAATTGGAGTTTTTGCATTGACTTTATTTATTTTTGCCATGTTGTCTTAAAGTATTCTTTATCTTGATTCCTTGTGTTGACAATCCCTTAAATTTTGCTCCCGAGGTGCCTCAGCCGCTTCACTCCTACAAAGCCATCTTTCTGTATAACCATAAAAATGGGCTGCGATGTCACGCTGTGTCCCCCTCTCTCCCAGCCAGACTGGGGCAGTGGTGTGTGGGTTGGCTGGCCCCCCCTTACCTGGCTAGGCAGGGATGGGGTGCCCCCCCCCCCCAGAGCCATCCTATTCTCTTTTCTAGCGAGTGTTTCCCGCACGGCCCCTCTAGGCCAGGCCATCACAGCCATGCCTGCAGGCGACTCCCACCCAGCCTCTGGGAGTCGCCCCTGAATAAATAAATCTGAGCTCTGGTCTTGGAGGGAGTCTAGGTGGCATGTGAATCCGCTCTGGACAATTGGCCCCAAACATCGTTTCCCTGGAACCAAGCGTCCTCCCTGTCAGGCTGGGCACTTCCAGGGGCCGAGGACCCCTTGCTCCCAGCTGGAAGAGGGAGGTGGGTGGTGGCTGCACCCTTATCTCTCCATGGGTGACCTGGCCCCCAAGGCCCAGACTCAGGGACCCCACAGCCTCCCTGGCATCTCCAGAGGGAAGGTCAATGGCACCTCAGAGCCAATGCAGTCAACCCTGAGCCCACACCTGCTCCCCACAGCCGTTCCTATGGCATTTGAGGCCACGACAGCCTGCCGGCGCTCTGGCCCAAAGCCCTGGACTTGTCCTGGCTGCTCCTTACCTGCCTCGTGCCCGGTCTTCACTGAGGCCGGTCAGCGTCTCTGCCAACACCTATCCTGAACCCTACGGCTTCTCTACACCCCACCTGCCCTGCCCGCACAGTGGGGGCCTTGCTGACCTCGCTTACCTGGACTCACCTGGGCCAGTGCGGAAGCTCCTCACTACCCCGCCTCCCTCTGCTCCCAGCTGTCCCAGTCTCCACACAGCAGCCATGCCCAGAGCTGAGCCTCCCCCGAGGCCCCTCCATGGCTTTTACAGTAAAATCTGAGGTGCTTCCCATGGCATACAACACCAATGCCCTCTTGCCCTGGCAGCCTTCCTCACTTCACCTCACAGCCTTCCCGCCTCAGCTCCAGGCACACTGGCCTCCTCTCTGTTCTGAGAACAGGGCTTGTTCCTACCCCAGGGCCTTTGCACTGGTTGTCCCCTCTGCTCTGGATACTGTTCCCCAAATCTTCTCACATCCAGTCCCTTCCTATGACTTGGGCCTCAGCTCACGTATCACTTACTCAGAGAGGACTCTCTTGAGTGCCCCCATCTGCTTCCTGTTGACACCCCCCAGCCCTCCACCAGACATCTTCCATCTTTTCAGAGCCCTTACCACTACATTAAATTACCTGTTAACTTGTTTCCTTCCTTCTTTATTGTCTGCCTCTGCCTAGCACAATGTAAGCTCTATGCTCCCTGCTGTCTCACTAGGACTTAGCACGGTGTCTGGCACACAGTGGGTGCTCATGACATAGCTGATAAGTGAATACCCGGCCAGGGAACAGAGGGGTAGGGCGGCATCCTGGGTGGAGAGCAAGGTGAGAGCAAAGTCTTGTGGGGAGGCCAAGGTGCAGATTTCACCAGGGTGTGGTGTGAATTCTTATGTCTCAGGGGGGCTGTAGCTTTTGAACAACGTAAACATTAAGAATTCAGTTCACGTAACCAACAAAGAATGTTTCTGGGTGTTCAAAGCAGAAATGACAGGAAAGCAAAAGAAAGCAAAACAAAGATTCTATTCGATACATGACATTCACGGTCACATGGGACATTATAGTTACGAGACATGGCCACATTCAGCAGAGGCCATAAATGTGCCCATTTCACAGATGAAGAGACTGAGGCTGAGACCGTGGAGAGAGGCAGAGGCAGACAGAGGAGTGTGGCCCCGGGCTCCAGAGCATCTTCCCTGAACCGGTGGTCGTGGAAGGCAGCTGACAGGCTCCGGGTGTCCTATTCAATTGAGGAATTGGTTTGGTTTTGTTTTTAGCAAAAGTTGTCCTGAGTCAGCCACCTGCTTCCGTCTGTCCCCGGGTCTGCTGACCTTGCCCAGGCTGCAGAGTCAGGAAGGAAGGAGCTCAACGGGGCCTGGCAGCCAGACAAAGGGGTGCCTGCCTGGGCCCAAGGGAGCACATCTCAGGTCTTCGTGGCAAAATGGAACTAAGCTAGTGGCCTGCGTTGGCTTGCCCCCAAAGCTTTGCTTCTCCAATGCCCTCTACTTGGGATGTGGTTACATATCTGATTTTTTCCCCCCTCAACAAATACCTACAAGGCTTGAACCAATGTTGGCACCTGCTCCAGGACTGGCCTTGGATCCAGACCCAAGTGGGAGGTGGAATGGGGATGAAGACTAGTGCAACACAGTCCCCCCTACACCAGCTGAGCCAAGACCCCAGGCCCCAGAGTCCTGATTCACTGTATGGGCTGTGCCGCCTCCCTGCTGTGTGGCCTTGCTCACCTCTCATGTCTGGGCCTCAGTGTCACCATCTGTGAAATAGGCTTTGGTGATGTGGTGTCCCATGTGGGAGGCTTACCGAGGGAAAGGAGGAAGGAGCCCCAAGATTCATGCTGTAGCTACTCCCCAGGCCCGGCCCGTTCCTCCCTGGGGCCGCTTGACTGCTCACCCACTGCAACTCCCACCCCCCACTCGGGCTGTTTCAGTTCCTCTCAGCCCACCTGTGGACAAGGAGCCCATGTGACCCGAGCAGGCCAGGCCTCACCCTCCTGGTAGCCCAAAGGCCTCCCTTATCTGCTCCCTGGTGCCCAAATCCCTGCTACCCTGAAATCACACCCCGGAGCTCAGATGATAAGGGTTGTTTAAATGCAAGTGACCCCAGGTGACCACCCGTAGGTGCTGAGCTCAGGCTGGGGCTCCCCGACCTTCCAGGGTACCTCAGACCCTCTCCCCATGGATCAGTGTGTGGGATACAGATGCCGTGGAGTCCCCATGCTCAGGGGCACAGCTTGAGAACTGAGGCACCCCTGCATCTGCCCCCTGAGACTGCAGGGTCTGCTGGGGGGCTGGGGGAGAGATCCTGAGAGTCCAGCTCCAGCCTCCTACCAAAGCTCAACCACTAACCACAACCTCCTCTGGGTTCCCAACTATCCAACCTTGGGAGTCAGTGACCCTCCCAGGGACAGGTTGTCCTGGGGCCTGAAAGCAAGCAGGACCGTGAACCAGACATGGCTCTTGTGAACTTGGGCAGGTCCTCAACCCTCCTCTGTGAAATGGGTCCTGCGACCCCCTACCTGGGGTCCTCGAGCAGCAGGAAGACCTCAGCTGGTGGCAGCTGTCCCTCTTCGGTGACCAAGTGACCGTGTCTCTCCTACCCGCAGATCCTGAACATGGAAGATGACCAGAACTGGTACAAGGCTGAGCTCCGAGGCGCTGAGGGCTTTATTCCCAAGAACTACATTCGCATCAAGCCCCACCCGTGAGTGGCTGTCACCCTGGTCCTCTCCTCAGGACACCCCTACCCCAGCCCTGCAGCTAGATGACCCCACTTGGCCTGGCCCAGGTTGAGCTAAGCTCGAGGCACCGCACACCCCTTAGGCCCGGGGATTCCTCGCTCACGGGTTCCATTCACCTGCCTAGGGCCCCCAGTCCCCACCCTGAGCAGGGGCAGGGGACAGAGATGTGAGGACCAAGGTGGTGGCAGAGTCAGGGCCAGCCCAGGCCACAAGGCTGAGGACCTGGAATGCCGGGGAACATCCAGGAGAGAGGTGGAGGAGACAGGCCCCGGGCTCTCAGGTGGCCATGTGGTCTCCGGCAGGTCCCGCTCTCCCTATTCCTGTTTCCCTATATCTGTAACTCAAGGAAGGTGAGGCTTCCATCTGCAGGGGATTCTAGAGCTCTCTCCAAGAGGCTGGCTCAGGCTTTTGTGAGGATAAGAAGTGAGGGTGACAATGGGGGGGGGATGGGTGGCCAGAAAGCAGATCCTGTGGGGCCCTGCCTTGGGGGTTTTGTGGGGAGCTGGACATTGGCCAAACAGACCAATGCCCTGGGACCAGGGCAGAGTGGGAGACACATGTGGGGCCGGTGTCCTGGGACCTGGGACCTGCTGGCCCAGGGCAGCCCCCGTCACGCTCACAGCAGCTGGCATCCCACGCGGCCACCCTGAGAGTGGCTGGGGCAGAGCCCAGCCCCAGAACAGGCCCCCGTGGCCAAGAACCTATGAAAAAACCAACTGGATATGCTTGAGATGGTGGCAGAGGCAGCCCCTCACTCAGTCATTCATCAAACTCTAGCCACAGCCCCAGGGGCCTGGCCTGGGTGATGCTGGAGACACATGAGGAACTGCTGGGGTTGGACCAGCCCCGTCCGGGGGGGGAACACAGGAGATAAAGAAAGTACCAGATGGGGAGGCAGCCAGCACCGAGGTGCCTGGGGAAGGCGTCTCAGAAGAGGTAGCAACGAATGAGGCTTTGAAGGGTGTGTAGGAGTTAGCTAGGTAGAAAACCAGGTGTTCCTGGGAGAGAGGATGGGGGACAATGGGGGTGACCCCGTGGCAGTGGGACTGGTGGAAGGGCCTCAGGTGCGGCAGCTCCCAGGGGGTGGGGAGCCCAGAGATGGCTGAGCAGGGGCCGACTCAGATGTGGAGGCAGGTTACAGGGCCGCGCAGGCTGGAGGGGACAGACTGGAAGCCATGAGGCCTCAGCTGAGCCTGTGTGACTGAGGGGTGGAAGGGGAGGGAGGAGCAGTGCCAGGGTGGGGCCCGGGGGGGTGTTTCCTCTTTATCTGTCTTCGAGTTCTTTCCAAAGCCCTCCGCCTCCAGCTTCCTGTGCTGGGCAAACCCCATCCCACCTGGGGCCCGGCCACCCAGCCGCACCCCGCCGGGGTTCCAGGCATCCCCAGCCTCCCACACAGAGGCGGCTGCCTGCAGCCTGCAGCTCCGGATCCAGGCTCCGCAGTGGCCTCTGGCCTGGGCGATGCGGGGCAGGTGTCTACCCTCCGGCCTCATGGTCCTTCTGTCAATAAAGGGAGGGCACGAGGGGAGAGACCCGGAGAGATGCCAGGCGCCCCAGGGAGTGACCACAGGCAGGGGTCACCGCCTCAGGCCGGTGGGTCGGGGAGAGATCTTGGGGGGGGGGGCAGGCAATGCCCCGGCTAAGGCCAGAAGCCCAGAGGGCCCAGGGCTGCTGGGAAGCCTCGAGCAGACGCTTCCATCTGCTGACACAGGTTTCAGTGTGAGGCCGGGCTTACCTGGGCAATGCTGGTGGTTGAGACAAGACTACCTGTTGGAAGCTCCGGTGGGTCCCAGTTGTCCGATGCCCTTGGGGTCCCCCCCATCAATTCTGGTCACCTGTGTCTGGACAGAGCAGGGACAGGGGTCAGGCCCCCAACCAACCTGTCGGAGGCCCTGCCCAGGTGCGTTCTCGGCTAACCTCAGCACCTGCTGCTGAAATGGGGGGGAGTGCAGTTCAGTATCTGACTCAGCCATCAGGCCCCAGGATGTGGGTGGCGGGGAGGACTGGGGTCCCAGAAAGGAGCTACACCAGCCCCACTCCTTCTCTGGGGACCTGCTGTCTCCCTGCCTGCCCAGGGAGTCCCTGAGGGAGCCATGATGCAGACCAGGTGCCCCAGAAGCACCCACCCGGCAGTGTGCCAGCGGGTGGCAGGGAGGGCTTCCCAGAAGGGCACGGTTCCTTGGGCCTGGGAGTTAGAATAGAAGTTTGCCAGGGAGGGTGGCAGACAGGCCCAAGGGAGTGCCGCGGGAGTGGGGGTGGTGGCAGGGACGCTGGCGTGCAGCAGCGCCCCCAGTCTCCCAAGGGCTCTGCAAGCCTGGTACTGTCATCACCATCTCACAGACAAGGAAACCGAGGCAGAGGGAGGTTGAATGGTTTGTTCAGGGCCACACAGCCAGCAAGAGGCAGAGTGGGATTTGCACCCACCAGGCGTGGGGAAAGGGTGCTCTAGGAGCCTCCGTGGCACTGGGGGAGGGCCTGAGGCCAGGTGCTTAATGTGCATACTTTCAGGGGAATCCCTGCCCTTCTCTGGGCCTCAGTTCCCATATCAGTGAAATGGGGGAGTATGCGAGGTGCTGCTGGCATGGTGGAGGGAGCTGGGTTCTGGGGCTCCGGAAAATGTTGCTCCTGCTGTCCTTGGAGTCACCTGAGGACCAGCCTTGCCTTGTTCCAATGGGGGGCAGGGCTGGCCTCCTCTGAGGGTGTGGCTGCAAAAGCCTTTGAGGGTGACAGCCACCCACACACTGACGCCTCCTGTGGTGTTTTGTGGGTTCTTTGGAGATACCCGGGCCCTCAGGAAACGCCCACTTGGGGCCCCACTGGGCCCCTGCTCCTACATGGTGCCTGCACCTGTCCCGCTGGGGGCTTCCCGGTGGAGAAGCTCCTTGCCACCCCCAGTCCCCCAGCTCAGCTTCTGGCCTGGAAGCCTCCATCCAGGCCTCCTGAACTCCAGAGACCCCAGCTGAACTTTCCAGATGCTCACCTTGAGCCCCCACAGCCAGCAACCATCTTTCACCACCTCCCCTCCCAGGAAATCCACCTGGGCGAGATGGGCTCCAGGGTCCCCACAGTTTGGGGACAGCAGTGGGCCAAGTCTCACTTCTGTGTGTGGGCTCCCCAGAAGCAGTGCCTGAGATGCAATGTGAGGACAGGACTTGATTTCGGAGTGGGAAGTGGGCAGGGAAGGAGCCAGTAATCAGGGCTATCAGCACGGCTGCTGCTGGCCGTGGCAGGCCCCAGGGTGGGCGGGGAGGCAGAACAGCCTCCCCAGAATGTTCCATGGGGGGCAGGGAGCTGAATGTTTATCACCCTCTCCCCTCGGTCATCACTCGACAGCTCTCTGGGGGCTCAGCCCACCCCGCACACAGGCCTTTGTTTGTGGCCAGAACCCCAGTGGGACTGGGGACCAGGCAGGACACCGCGGACCGTGCGGCTGCACCTGTTGCCCCAGCTCTGGGCTTCAAGGGCTCGTCAACATCCTGAGACAACAGGAAAAGTCCCAGCTCACATCCGCCCCCGCTGCCAAGCCCAGACTCAGGAAGCATTTGCTGAAAGAGGGACGGGAAGCTTTCAAGGAACAGTCTCCAGACCCTGCCCTTGGTTGGCCACAGTGCTGCCAGGAGACTCTAGCTGCTCCGGGCCTCAGTTTCCCCATCTGAACCATCAAGGGCCCCGTCAGAGACCACGTGGATGCTACAAGGACTAAAGAGCCGGGGGCTTGCCAGGGCCCCACAGCAGGAGGGGCAGGACTGGCAGGGAAGCTGAGTCCCAGCCCTTCTCCTCCAGGAACTGGGGGATAGAGGGGCAGTGGTGGTCTCGCAAGACCCTAAGCATCTGCCGGGCACTCCCGCATCCCCAGTTCTATGTGGGCAGCCAGGGGAGGGACCTGTACCTTGGAGAAAAAGTCCAGGTGGCCTCAGTCTGTGCATCTGTGAAATGGGTGCAGGGAGCCATCCTTCCTCATCAGACCAAAGCCACTATTGCCTTTGTCATCCGTGTTTATATTTTTTCGCTTTTAAGACTCTATCGTCTAAAACGGAAGAGCTCAGCTGGGGTTGGCTGGGGGGAGGTTCACTAAGGTTTGATTTTTCTCTTTTCACAAGGGGATGTGTTTGCCTGGCAGGGTGGGAAAAGCTTGGGCTCTGGAGCCAGATGCTGGGAGTGGGTCTCAGCCGCCTCCTGCGCTGCGTGTAACACACTGCATGTAACCTTGGGCTTGTTGCTTTGCATCTCTGCGCCTCAGCTTCCTCATCTGTGAAATGGGTGCACTCATATCTCCTGTGTCTCCGGACCACTGGGAGGATCGGCGGCGTTGGGTGCTGGCACAGGGGCAAGGGGCGGCCTGGCCATCCCACCGCCCTCACCAGCCCCCCTCTCGCTGCAGGTGGTACTCGGGCAGGATTTCCCGGCAGCTGGCTGAAGAGATTCTGATGAAGCGGAACCACCTGGGAGCCTTCCTGATCCGGGAGAGTGAGAGCTCCCCAGGGGAGTTCTCAGTGTCCGTGAAGTGAGTTCCGACCCGTGGGGACTGCAGGGGAGGGGACGCAGGGAGGCAGCATGGGCATGGCTCACGGTGCAGGGAGCCTCATCCCTGAAGGGGGGACAGCCGGAGCCCAGAAGCTGGTAACTGTCCAGGGGTCAGGGAATGACAGCCACCCCAGGGTGCGGCCCAGAGCAGTGGGACATGCTCAGAAGGCAGGCGTGGGTGCGCCGCCAGGTCAAGTGTCTGCATGTTCTTCTATGAGCAGCAGGGAGACATCCAAGACTCATCAGAGGGGAGGAAGGAGCACGCCAGAGTTTGATGTGATGGAAGCAACAGTGGGTGAGAGAGCCCCGGGGCACCCAGGGCAGGTGTCCGGGATGCGCCCTGCTCAGCGCTCACCACACGGTGACATAAATGAGATGATGGACTACGGAGCCCTGCTGCTTGGGTTCCAATCCGAGTTCGGCCACTTCCTGGCTGTGTGACCTGGGGCAAGTCACTTAACCTCTCTGGGCCTGTTTCCTCTGATGTGAAATGAGTTATTACAAGGACTATATGAGTCTATAAATATATATTTTGAGTCAATATATTTAAAATAGTGCCCGACATTGAAGCGGGGTTGCCGCGATGGGAGCGTGGGAGAGTCTGACTTTGTGACCCGCAGCAACTCAAGCAGGACCAGCAGCCTCTAGGCCGCGCAGACCCCAATCCCGAAGGCCCATTCTCGAAGGCCACACTTCCCGGGCTGGGAGGTAGAAACGGGAACAGGAGTTGGGGCCCAAGGGGCCTGGTTTCTGACTTTACCTGTTCTCACCGTCGGGAACAGTGGTGTATAGAGGCATACATTCAAGGAATATTCGCTGAGCCACATTGGCGTGTGCCAGGCTACTCTAGAGGCTGGGGAAATGACTGTAAAAACCCCAAAGTTGCTGCCCTTCTGGATTTATGTCTTAGTGGAGGAGACAGTGAACAAGCAAAGACCTATGGCAGGAGTCAAGGTGGTCAGAGACAGCCTCCCTAGAGGTGGTGCTCGAACAAAGATCTGAACCTGGATTTGGAGGCTGCCCAGGTCTCTGGGAGTGATGACCCGGGAGGGGAGATTTCTAGGCAGACAGAACAGCAAATGCAAAGGCCCTGATGTAGGAATGCACGTGGGACGTGCTGGCATCCACAGCGACTGGTGGTGCGACTGGAGCAGAGAAGCCTGGGGGATGCAACCCAAGAGATGGAGCTGACAGATCCTGACAAGGAGATCGAGTTTTCTCTCAGAGCAATAGGGAGCCATGGAGGGTCTTGAGCAGGGGGAGATGTGATTGGCTTCCATTTCTCAGCAGATCCCTCTCCTCTGGCTGCTAGGAGGAGGAAGGATGGTTGGCAGTGAGGAGGGGGACACTGGGAGGCCAGAGGGGAGCCAGGCAGGGGGTGACAGTACCTGGGATGGTGGTGAGGGCTGAAGGCATACAAAGTGGCTGCTGGCTCAGGCCAGGTGAGGGAGTGGCATGGATCTGTGATGTCAAGGCCCCCAACTGTTTGGGTCTCCGTGGACAGTGGGCACAGAGCCTGCACAGAGGAGGCGCTCACTGTGCCAGGTTTTGGGGTCACTAAGAGCAGTAGTGGGGTGACAAGGTTGCCTGGAAGGAAGGCACAAGTGGCAGGTCTGGAACTTGGCGGCATGGCCTCTAAGAGGCCGTTGTCCTAGGACTGGATTGGTTTATGGCCAATGGCTTGATTGTCCAAAGGCTGAATGAACGCGGGATCCCTTTGATGGTTAATGCAGGGGCTGGGGGTGAGGACGTAGGTCGGTGCCGTCCTGGCTCTCTCAGACCCATGGTGAGCTCTGTGGCTGGTGCACTGTCGGGTGGTCCATTTCTGGGGTAAGTGGTGGTGAGCGATCTGCACCCTGGAGCCCTGGGCAGTGGTGATCTCCCTGTCTGGGCCTGGAGAACCCCATGTGGGGCCATCTGCTGAGGGTGGGAAGGCTACTGGGGGGTGGTAATAAGATCTATCCAACATCAGGAGAGGTCACAGCACTTAGCTGATCCCCTCCAAGCTGTGCAAGCAGCATTGGCTCTGTTTACTTCCCTGCTCCCCGAATAGGGAATAGGCTCGTTAGTCCCGGGGATCGCACCCCCTGTGACCCACACACACCAGGAACAGGCTGGTTACCCCAGAGGACCCCACACCCCTCTCACACATAAGGAACAGGCTGGTTACCCCAAGGATCTCCCCCCACACTCAGACATTCAGGAAACAGGCTGGTTATCCCCGGGGGATGGGAATGGTTCTGGCCCTAGTCAAACCTCTACTCCCCCATGTTGAAAATGGGAGCACGGTCAGTGCATCTGTGTGTGGGAGATGCATGGTTGTGGGCATCTGGAGTGCCCGCTGGGTCACCTTGCCCCCGGGTCACCTTCCCACCTCCACAGCCCAGCCCCCACTTCCCCCTGGGGTCCCTGCAAAAGCAGGAAACGGTTATTTTCCATGTGCTGGCGGCCAAGGGCCTGGTCATCTGGGATTGGCGCCCGCCAGGCGGGCTGGTGCAGCTTCGAGGGCCTCCTAGAATCAGCTCCGAAGTCCAAGATCTCCCAGCGAGGCAGGCGCACAGGGGACTCACTGGGACAGCTTCTGCAGCCCTAGCTGGGGGGCAGGGGGGCCCTCCCAACCCCCACCTCTCCCCCTGCCTCTCCCCGCCCTAACTCGTCACGCTGCCTGAACCTCCAGCATTAGGCCTGTGCACTGCCCTCTCCTGGCCTTTCTTCGTAAGTGCAGCCCCGCCAGTGCGCACGCGCAGACTCAGACCCAGGCTCTTGTGATGAATGAATAAATAAGGGGGGGATTCAGGGGCCCCTGGGCGGCTCAGCAGTGGAGGTCTGGCTTCGGCTCAGGGCTTGATCCCGGGGTCCGCGGATCGAGTGCCGCATCAGGCTCCTCCCGGGGAGCCTGCTTCTCCCTCTGCCTGTGTCTCTGCCTCTCTCTCTGTGTCTCCCATGAATAAATAAATAAAATCTAAAAAAAAAAAAAAAAAAAGGGAATTCAGTGACAAGGGACACATTCCACGTGGCGAAGGAGGTGACATCTGAACTGGACCCTAAAGCCTGAGTGGCAGTTTGGTGCACAAAGAGAGGAGAGGGCCTGCCAGGCACAGGGACCAGGCTGTGCAGAGACCTGGAGTTGGGGCAGAGAGGGGTGGGTTTGGATAGTGAATGTGACCAGCAGAGGCAATAGGTGATGGTGGGAAGCAGTTGTTGAGCAGGGGAGCCAGCACCTATGTCCTGGGAAGAGGTCTGGCAGAGTCCTTCAGAGAAATCCTGGCTCCTGCCCCTTGGGGCCTCCCCCAAGGTCTCCTGGCCAAGGCCCCTAAGATCGGCTTCCTGGGATCAGCTGACTGTGGTTTGTGCACAGCGTCACCAGGTGGCGTCCTCCACCCTTGGTTCCGTCCTAGCTTGGTCCATTGTCTCTCATGTGGGCATTTCAGTGGCCCTTGGGGGACCACTGGGCAGGGATTAGAGTAGGAAACAGACTCAGAGGGCGTATATGGCCAGGAATGTGGGCTTTTAAGCAAGACTTTCGACTCTAATACCTACTAGCTGTATAACCCTGGGGAACTTACCCTCTGAGCCTGTTTCCTCATCTGTAAAATGAACATCCACGTAAAGTGCTTAGTATGCTGCTTAGCACATAGCAAGTGCTCCAAAAATGCCAGTTATAGTAATTATCATTATATTACCCTCTAGGGGAGATGCTAGGTGGCTCAAAGGTTGAGCCTTGGGCTTGGGGTATGATCTCAGGGTCCCGAGTTCAAGTCTCACATCGGACTCCTCACAGGGAGCCTGCTTCTCCCTCTGCCTGTGTCTCTGCCCCTCTCTCTGTGTCTCTCATGAGTAAATAAATAAAATCTTTAGAAATATATATATTACCCTGTAAGCACACAGTAAGCACACAGCTTCCCGGCCCCTTGTCCCACAAATCCAGGGCTATTAGAAAAGAGACAGTGACATGGAAGAGGCGGTGACATGGAGCAGCAGGGAACCCAGTTCTTGTCCTGACTTTGCTCAGAACCTGCTGTGAGGCAGGGGCTGGCTTTCTTGTAGCTGTAATGTCCTCATCAACAACGTGGAGACAGTAACCCCAGGTGTTATGAAATCCAGGGACCCAGTGGTCATCCAGAAAAGTGACAGCTATAAAACTTATGTGTGAGAGCATTTCCGGCCTCGCTGACTTGGCTCTTGGGGACTCTGACCCCACTACACGTGGCATCTCCCACGTGCTCATGCCAAGCCCCATAAAGCTGTCAGGGATGGGGTTTATGGGCCTCGGGCCGCCTCATGGAGCGATAGTGGCCACGCTGGCTGCTCTTTACGAGTTTACAGAGGGCTTCCCCCCCCCCCCCACAGGGGCACGTCTGAGCCGGCAGCCAGCAGCCCAAGGACTGAAGCTGGGGCTCAGTGTGACTTTTCTCCACAATCCCATCCAGGCTGCTGTGGACTCCTCTGCTGTCAATGGCAGGTTTTTCCCCCCGCAGTGAGGTATTTTGCTTCCTTTCAGGCCAGAGGTGCCCTGGAGTCATTGCACCTGTGTTTGCTCTGGTCACTGAGTACCTACTGTGCACCCGGATTGTCCCAGGTGCTTAGGATTCAGCCGTGAACAAAATAGGACAAAACTCCCTGTCCTTTAGGCACTCATTTCTACTGGAGTGACAGACAAGAAACAATTAGCACATTATTATTTTTATGTTTATTTTTAAATTTTTAAATGATTTTTTTTTATTTATTCAAGAGAGAGACAGAGACACAGGCAGAGGGAGAAGCAGGCTCTCTGTGGGGAGCCCGATGTGAGACTTGAACTCGGGACCCTGGGATCATACCCCAAGCCCAAGGCAGACACTCAACCGTTGAGCCACCAGGCGCCCCTATTTTTTAATTTTTAAAAAAGATTGTATTTATTTATTCACGAGAGACAGAGGGAGAGGGAGGCAGAGACAGAGGGAGAAGTTCTGTGCTCTGCCCCATGCGGGGCTCCATCTCAGGCCTCTGGGATCCCCACCTGAGCTGAAGGCAGATGTTTGACTGACGGAGCCACTCAGATGCCCAACAATTAGCGGACTACATAAAATCTTGGGAGATGATAAAGGCTCTTGGGAAAATGAAGCAAGAAAGAAGTGGTGCCAGAAGACGGAGGGTGTTATATGTGCAGGCAAAGACAGAGGAAGCGATCTCCAGAAGCCTAGTTTGCAGGAAACAGAAGCTCAGAGAGGTGCAGGGACTTACCCAAGGTCACACAGCAAGGAAGAGCAGAGCAAGGGCCCACTGACCTCCTGTGCCCAGACAGACCCATTCTATCTTCCATCCACCTTTCCTGAGTCCCAAAGGCCCCTGAGTCCCTGTCAAGATCAGTTTGATTCTATTTCATGTCTGCTGCAGTCCATGTATTCCGCCCCTGCCCTTTTCACAGATGGGAAAACTGAGGCTAGACTGCTGATGCCTGAAGGAGATCACCCAGGGGACGGTTAGCACCCAGGCCTCTGTCTAGGGGGGCCCAGGGCCCTGGTTGGGGCAGTCGGGGGGGGGCTCCTGACCTTACCCTAGCCTTGTTTATCCTCACTGGGAGGCCACTGTCACCTTTGCTGCTGCCGCCACCAGGCCAGAAAAACCTGCTGGGCAGGACAGGCTACTGCCAGCATCAGGCCTCACTTGGTCCTTGCTTGAGGCTTTTGTGACAGCCCAGAGGCCGGGCCCTGCCCCTCATCCCCCTGGGTAGGTGGGTGTGGGGGTCACACAGAGACAAACATGCCCGTGGCTGCACAGAAAGGGACTCACATACAGTCACTGTGGCAGAGCAGAGAGAGACCCCACACACACCCAGACACTATAGAGACACACCTGGCACACACAGGCCAGGACACACACACACACACACACACACACACACACACACACACACACCACTCACTGGCCACTGCCCCGGACCAGCTCCAGATGCCCCCTCGTCTGTCCTCGCCTGGGCTTAGACCCCATCCTGGCTGCCCTTCCCTCCCCCGGCTCAGGAGGGCTCACTCAGCAGGGTGCCTGCTCCCAAGCCATCCCTCCCAGGTCAAGGTTCACTTGGACTTGGACGTGGTCTCCCCTATATGCCCTGGAGCTCCCCTGGGCCTGGGAGTGAGGGTTTGAGGTCTAGAGAGGCCACAGAGGGTCTAGGGGGCTCTCAGACCATCTCAAGGCTCCATGAGGCTTTGAAGGATGCCTAAGGCCAAGACCAGGCAGGGGACGGTGCTCCTGGGGAGATAGATCCCCAGCAAGGGCCCCATAAGGCCAGCAGATAGGGGGGCTGCCCTGATGCTGAATCCTGGGGTCGTCTGATGGAGATGGCCCTGCTTGGCCTCAGACAGCTGTGATTGCTGATCCGAAGAGGCCATGCTCAGTCTACGCATCGAGCAGCATCCCCGACATGGCTGTCCCTGGCTGTGGGTAGGCCTCTCTCCTCTCTGGGCCCCAGTCCCTCACCATAGGACAGGGAGTTGGAACCAGCCAGGAGAAGGGACCAGACCTGCCATTTACGGAGCACCTACTGTGTACCATATACAGGTGAGAGGCTGGACCATGCAAACTTCCCCAAGTTGAGAGTTCTCCAATTCTCAGGTTGGACTTTCCTGGGTCCCTTGGCCTTTCCTGCCTCATCTCCTGTCCTCTACTTGCTGATCCTCTTATGTGATCAAGGAATACTTCATTCTGGTTAACTTTCCAGGTGGTCACTTGGGTTTGAGATCTTTTTCACACCTGCCACCTGCTTCTCTGTCCCCTTACCCAGAGGGGGAGGCCGTCCATACCACAGGCTCTTCCCTGGGGACAGCCCAGCCCCGAGTCGGAGCCTCTGCTTCTGCACTGAGTGGCCCACACATGGGGTCCCTGGGGGCCCTGTTTCCTGGCTTTTTGCCTGCCCAGCCTTTGGATGAGAGACCCTCCTCCCCAGGTACCCCCACCAACGTCTAGGGGCTAGGGAAACCCCGATCTGCCTGGGACAGGGCACTAGAGAGTCAGTGGGCTCAGAGGTCCCTCAACAAAAGTGCGTGGCCTGTGGGAGGCTGTGGCAAGTCAGACAGAGCAGGAAGCACCATCCTCCTGCCCGCCTAGTTCCATGGGCCTACATGTCCCACGGCTGCCAGCACGAGCCACTTAGTCACCTGGGAACAATGCTTGCTGACAGCACACAAGTGGCTTTGTCTCAGGGTTGGGGATCATTGCTTCATCTGCTCACAGAGCCTCCTGGGGGGCACTGGCCCCCTTTGCAGCTAAGCAGCCCTGAGACCAGACACGTCTTAGAGAGGGTGTCAGGTCTATTTCAGGGCCAGGACACCTGGAGGGCTGGACTTGAAGCCCAGAACCAACAGGAGAGGGGTTTCAAGAACAAACCACCCTGAAGAGCACTTAGCCGGGGGCCCTGACGCTCTGTTCCCTGAGTCCCGCCTCTCTCAACTTGGACTAGACCCCCAGGGCCTCCTCCTACCTCCCTGCATTTTCTGGGTCTAGCATGCAAGCCATTGTGAGCAGTGGGCTAGAGGAATGCTGTACAAGGGGCTGGGGAACCCAAGGAGACCTTTGACTCTGAGTTGGGCCATTTTTCCTGGGCTTTCAAGCATGAGTAGGAGTTTGACTGCAGAAGAAATTGGAGAAAATCATGTGTGCAAAGGCCTGGAGGGGAGATATGTTTGAATGGAGACAGACGGGCACTGGGTGGCTTGGACTCCTTAAAATGGGGGGGCGCATCCCAGCTTGCCCTCCACCCCACCCCAAACCCACACACCTTGAACAATTCTTTGTCTTCCGTCTTTAATCTTAAGCCTTTAAGAAGGCTGGCGCTGACCGTTGGAGGCGGTGAACGGCAGGCAGGGATGAGATAGCAGGCCTGGGTGGCCGTGGGTGACAAAATCATGCTCCTATTCGGGGCCTGCCAAGACCCTGGACTGTGGGCCAGGGGACTCGGGTGGCACGCAAACCCTGGCTTACAGAATGACTTCATAAGATTAAATTTAGAGCCCAGGAGGTGTTTTTTGTTTGTTTGTTTGTTTGTTTTTCTTTTTACTGTCAAGTCTCCAGACCACTATTTGGTTCTCACTGAGCCCTAAACAGAATGAGAATGTAGCCTGTGGTTCAGGAGGCCGAGAGGCCATTGCCCACTCTGGGGCCATCCCGGGGCCCCACATACATGCCGGGCCATGCCCACAGGCCCCAAGGCTTTCTGGGCTCTCAGCTCCATCAGCCACAGGGGGCAGGTTCCTAAACTGGCTTCTTCCTGCTGGGGAGCTGGGGCTCTTCTGGATTCTCCCTGCAGCTGCCAGCCCCTTGCCCCCATTGGGCAGGTGAGGACATTGAGGTCCAGCTGGGCTGACCAGAGCCAGCAAGGATGGCTGCCTGCCACTAGGCCAGGCATAAAGGCTGAGAGAGGGGAGGGCCTCCTGGGGATCACAGCCCAGGAATGACATGGTGGCATGGTCCTAGGCTTGGGATGACAAGGTCCAGGACATTATCAACCCCATATTTGGAATAATCATTATTCCTATTGTTATACAACAAGAACCAACAGGGGAACATGCTGGAGTGACTCTTGACAGGAGGCCCTAGCTCTGGGGCTTTGCTGCTGTGCGACCCTAGGGATGGCATGGTTTGCAGCAGGGTGTCAGTTTCCCCACTGCACAAATGGCTGGATTGGCACCTCCTGAGCCATGTGGTGGGTCCGGCCACCCCTGCAGCAGCGAGGGGAATCACAATGGTTTGTGCTGCCCACGTGGGTTGGGACAACGGGCAGCACCTCCAGTCCCAGTCCGTCATGGCCTGTCCTGGCATGGGACCTGAGGCGTACGGCAAGAGGTTAAAGTATATGAAGGAAACGGGGCTGGGCACTGGAGCCACATATCTAGTCCGAGGTGTTAAGATTTTATCTGGAGGGCAATGGGGAGCCATAGAAGGTTCTTGAGGTAGGGGGCAGGGACAGACACGAAGCATCCAATACACGGGCAGGCTTTGGTCTGAGTCAGGAGGTCTTAGGACTCACTCCTCACTGGTCTGCCGGCCCGGGAGGGGCCTGGGGGAGATGTTGAAGGGATGGGAGAGGAGGAGCTGTCTGACCACCTCTGCCTCAGAGAAACCGTGTCACGTTATTGACCCCGGGCAGCACTTTCTGAACACTTACCCAGAAGGGAGGAGCTACCTTATAAAGAAGCGGAGGATTAGAGAAGTCCGGTGGTTTGCCCAAGGTCACACAGCAGCCCAGTGGCCTGTCCCAGCGCCCACACCCTTGCCTCCAGCCCCCACGTCCCCACCAGGTCAGTGGGCCCCGGAGCTGCCAGCTGCAGGTGGGGGTGGGGACAGGGCCACCCAGGCCGGGTGGCTCAGGTGGCTGCCCTCCCCCAGCTACGGCGACCAGGTGCAGCACTTCAAGGTGCTGCGGGAGGCCTCGGGGAAGTACTTCCTGTGGGAAGAGAAGTTCAACTCCCTGAATGAGCTGGTGGACTTCTATCGCACCACCACCATCGCCAAGCAGCGGCAGGTCTTCCTGCGGGACGAGGAGCCCCTGGTCAAGGTAGGCGCCCCCCCAGGGGTTGGGGGGCGAGGGGGGGCTCTCTGCACCTGCTCCTTCTGCCACCCGCCGCGGCATCAACCCGGGTCCCGGGGCAGGGCTCTAAAGTCCCCCTTTTGCAGTAATACAGGCCGGGGTGGGGAAGCAGGGGGAAGGAGGAGGAAGGCACAGAGTGGACGGGGCCGGGGCCACACCGCGGTGGGCTTGCTCTCAGCCCCAGCGCCGTGCGTGGCCATCATGGGGACTCTGCGCACTCTGAGTGCACGAAGGTCTCGCCACCTACTGAGGCTTCTGGGGCCGCTCGCTGAGCTGGCTTCGTCCGCAGGGGCCTGGTCTTCGTCTTGAGGCTCCCCCAAGACCACTTGGGGGTAGGCTCGGCCCTGGTTTCTGCCCCCAGGAGCTGGCCCCGGGTGGAGTGGGGGCGGTGTGAGCATCTGTGGGCGAGGTCCTGGCCAGGCTCAGGGTGTGATTAGAATGATGACACCAGCCAACCGGGTTATTAGCCCCGACAAGTGCTGTCTTCTTTGGGAAGGGGGGTGTCTGCAAGGCCCCAGGGCCAGAGGTCTGGACCCCAGGCCTGCCCAGTTGAGCCTGGGGAGGGGCTGCCGCCTGCCACAGAGAAGCTCTGGTCCTGCTTGTGTTAGACCCCCACGATGTGTGATCTCAGCTGGGCCTCAGTTTCCCCACTATGTGATAGGATGAGGCCTGGGTCTCAGGAGCCAGGAGAGGCAAAGGGTGCCTTGGGAGCCCCCCATTAGTGAACCATGTGTGCCGCCAGGATGTTGGGCCTCCTCTGCCACCCTGGGGGCTGGGGCAACTGTGAGCTCCCAGCCTTGGAGACCTCTTCCCCACTACTAGGCGTCTGTCCCAGACCTCCATCCTCTCTGCTCCCCTGCCTGGGCCAGCACTGCCCTTGGAGAATGTGAGGGAGCCAGGACAGAGCGGGGGGCTGCCTGAGGGCTCCCCACACCCACTGCTTCACTCAGGCCTGGGCTCTGTGGGCACCCACCCTGTGGGATGATTCCAGAACTGGCTCAGTCTCCTAGGACCCATGGTACCACCTCCTCCTCCCTGGGCTGAGAACCGCTAATTAGAGCCTGTCTGCTGATCCTATCACCCATCCTGGATAAGATTCCACAGGCTCTGAAGAGAGATCCAGGTGGGGCAGGCAGGGCCAGGACACTGGGTATAATTGTCACGGCGCCGGGATGATATGCCTGCAGAAAGCTTTGTCCAGCTGCCCTTTGCAGGTGGGGAAACTAAGTCCCATAAGGGCAGGGTCTTACTTGAGGTCACCTTGGGGTATACATAGGACAGGAATCTGGGCCGGAGAGCTGGGAGCAGCTCTGAGGGACATCCTCTGCCTCAAAACCCGGTCAAATGCAATAGCAGTAAACTCTGCTCTTAGCTACACATCACTTTACAGCTTATAGGGCCTGTTCCGTGGCCGAGACAGTCCTGTTGGTCTATGCAGATCGCAGCCTCTGAACTGCAGACATTCAGGAGGCAGTAGGGGGTTCATGGGGTGGGGTGGCCATCTAACTGGATTTGGAATGAGAAGTAAGTCTGTCCTCCCACCCACAGCCAACCACTTCTCTTGTTGGGGCCTCTGGAGAAATCCCCACTAACCACTTCCTCTCCTCACAGTCGCCCCGGGCCTACTTTGCCCAGGCCCAGTTTGACTTCTCGGCCCAGGACTCCTCACAGCTCAGTTTCCACCACGGTGACATCATCGAGGTCCTGGAGCACCTTGACCCCCACTGGTGGCGGGGCCGGTTGGGTGGACGCATTGGCTTCTTCCCTCGGAGCTACGTACAGCCAGTGCAACTGTGACCAGAGTGGGGCCCGGGGGTGGGGGCGGAGCCAGAAGACCCTCCATCCACCAGACACTGAGGTCCAGAGAGAGGACATGGACGCCCCGTCTCCGGGGTCCCACAGGGCTCAGCCAAGGGTCTTGGACTAGAGCAACAAAAGCCAGGCCCCCGGCTCAGGCTGCTTCACACAAACTGGGCCCATCCCAAGAATCACGGCGATATTCGGTGCCTAGCAGGCAACGGGAGCTCCCGGTGCTTCCTCCTGGCCTCTTCCCATTGGCTACCAGCTGCGGGGGCTCTGGGGCAGGGCGGCAGAGGCCCCACTCTCTCCAACCATGAGTGGCCCCAGCCTCAGGGAGAGTTGAAGGTTGCTGGGTTACATGCATTTGGGGGCTCTGCCCAAGGAAGCACGGGTGTGGTGGATGGGTTCCACCTCGGCTGACCATCTGCTGGGCTGCTTGCCTGCCCCACCCTCAGATGGCCCCTTGAGGTGTCCTGGCTCCTAGTGGTGAGGGCCAGGCCCGGGGGCTGCACACCTCCTGACCTGGACCAATGGACTGATTCCAGGTTGACACCGATTTCTGGGCTGCCCCACAAAACTTTGGGCTCCACTTGGGTGTCTAGCACCCCCTCACTCTCCGCCTCGCCACAGACACTTTGGAGAGGGGCTGGGAGGCCCAGAGCAGGTGGGCAGTGATGAGAGAAACAGGAGCCGCTCCCCTCCCGCTGGCCGGACACAGTGGACAAGCTCTGAGGTGCAGGCCCTGGGCACAGCCCCTTGGAAGGACCCTCTACCCTGGCTCTTGTTTGTTCTGCTCAGACTGGGGTGCCCCCCCACCGAGTTCGGGGAAACTATAGGCCAGGTGGGCGGTCAGGGCCACGACTGGACTTGGAGCTCTCACGGAATGGGACCCTGGCTTGAGGAAAGGCAGGGTGTGCAGACAAGATGGGCAAGCAGCAGCAGGTAGCGAGCAGCACTGGCCTGGGGCCTGGGCACCTTTGGGAGCAGGGAGAGTGAGGGGGGCTCTGAGAGCGCTTTGAATGCCAGGCTGGTGGTGGAGGGGGCAGTGAGTGGGGAGGAGGGGAGAGGAAAATGTTGTGGCGGCTGGGAGCAGGTGGGATGGGGGCTGTAGGTCCCTGTGGTAGGCACCGGGCGGGCCAGAGACCCTGTGAGTCCTGAGCTGCTCCTGACCTGGGCCCGAGTTTTCAAAATAAAAACAGTAAAATGAGGATAAGGGTGTTCATCAGAAATCTAATTCTCCTTGTAGTTATGACTACTTGGTGCTATTTTCGAAACATCTTGTTCTTTCTGTTCATTGCCCCCCTACTTTCTTCGCGGCTCTTGCTTCGTAGGCTCAGCCAGTCCCTGGGCACCGACTGGCTATGTAGTCGTGAGGTGAGTCTGTACCTCTCTGGGCCTCGGTGTCCTCATCAGTGAAAGCAAGGTGGACATGGGGACTCCAAGGGCTTGGCCTTGCCCACAGGGCCAGCGTCAGGCAAAGTAGGCGTAGAAGAAGATGTTGACACACATGAGCAGAATGGCATTGAAGCCACACACACGGGCCCAAAAAGCATGTTTCTGGGGTGTCTGGCTGTCACCTGGATGCAGGAGGGGGGAAGAGGGGAGAGGCAGATGAGGGCCAGAGGACCGCCCTCCTGTTTCCACTCCCACACTCCCCCAGGTGGGAGTGAGCATCAGGGCCTCGGGTCAGCCGCATACCTCCTTTTGCTCCCACGAGCACATCCTGAGCCAAGGTCCACCAGGTGAGGTTCTCAATCTGCAGAGGATGATCAGGAGGGGAGTGAGGCAGGACAGGGTGAGCCCAGTTGGGGCTGGGGGTCAGGGATGGGAAGTGAGCAGCGGAGGTCAAGAAGGGATGGAGGTCAAGAGCTAGAAAGTTCTCAAGTCACAGAGGGTCAGGGAGAGAATGGGACCTGAGTCCAAGTGTGTTAAAGGTCAGGGATCAGAGTCAGGGATAGGACATGCGGGGTCAGGGTCAGGGCCCAGGGCAGGCTCACCTGGATTCCCTGGGGGGGTGGTGTCAGCAGGCTCCCGGCCACCACCACAGCTCCACTGAGCACAAAGAGGGCAACAGCGAAGTGCAGGTAGTGGATACTGCCCAGGATGGCTGGCCGCGTGTCCAGGTCACCACACGGTGGGGCAGGGTGCAGGAATTCCAGGACCAGCCTGGTGGCGCCCAGTGCCAGCCCCACCATGAGGCCCCAGAAGGCCCCCTGGGGAAGAGGAGGCAGGGCCAGTGGGCGGTGAGGGGGAGGCCAAGTCCCCTCCAATCCCAATCAGCACATAGGCAGCAGGGAAAGGGATGGGCCAGATGCAGCTCATCTGCAGGAAGAGGACCCCGCCCGGCCCCCACATCCTGGCTGCCCCAGCTCTCTCCGTCACCCACCCACCTGCTCGTTGGCACGCTGCCAGAAGATTCCCAGAACGAAGACTGCGGTCACGGGGGGCGCCAGGGAGCTGGTCACTGACTGCATGTAGATGAAGAGTTGCCCGCTGTTGGAGCCCTGCAGGACGGGGATCCAGGCCACGCTCACACCGATGAGCACCACGATGACCAGCCTGCGGGAGGCAGGGGGTGTGCTCGTCCCCTGGGACCCTTCCTCACTTCTCTACCATCTCCCGCAGACTTCAAGCCACCTCCCTGGCCTCTGGGGATGTGGCCAGCCTGGCCCTGCCCCAAACCCTTCTGTGGCTACCTGCCACCTGCAGGTACAGCCCCCGACTCAGCCTGGGTGCTCCTTCGTATCCCTGGGGAGACCCCCAAGCCCCCCACCCCAGGTTCTCCCCTTGATCCTCAAGTACTCATCCCACCTGTTTACTTCCTTACTGTCTGTCTCCTTGTCTGGGCTGGACACCCGAGGAGAGCAGGAGCCTCACGTCTTCAGCCCACCACTGCGGCCCCCAACACACAGTAGGTGCTCAATAAATACTTGGTGGCTTTGTGAATGGCCCACTGCCCTTAGTCCAGCCAGACTGACCCTTTGGTGTTTCTCTCACACTGGTGGGGCTTGGCAGGAGCTGTGGCCTCTGGCTGGCACACTTCTTACACCTGTAGCCCCCAGGCTGCTGACCTGCACCCTCACGGGGTGGCCTCTGTCCTCAGAATGCAAGGTTTGGGGTTGGGCAGTCTGGGTTTGGGTTGGGACGTGGCCTCCTCAGCTCTGAAGCCTGAGATGTCTACCAGAACGAGCCCCTGTGCCTGCCTACCCCGTGTGGACTCCTTTTGGCTCCTGCCTGCCTTCCCCCTCGGTGTGCATCCTCCACCACAGGGACATGCTTCATGTAGTGAGCAAGCGCCCCTCGGGACCCCTCCTGAGTGCAGAGCACTGTGCTGAACCCAGACTCAGTGATGAGTCCCTTCCCAGCTCTGAGAGTGGAGTAAAGAAAGCAGATGAGCCTGTTATCCTGTGCAAAGGGCTGCACTCAGGGGCCCCAGAGGAGGCATTAATCCAGGAGGGCGTCTAGGCAGAGGAGGGCCTTGAAGAGTGTGGGGCCCAGCTAAGGAGACAGAGGAGGGGCAAGGTGTCCCATCTGCTCCTCCTTAGCTCAGTGCCCCTCTCCCCTGTGTCAATTGGACACCCTTCTCCACCAAAGTGGGTGGCAGGGGAGGCCTGAGACCCTGGACAGGCCAGCATGTGTGCAGCTGGGGCGGGCCCTTCCTGTCTGCCCGCCTGCCCGCCTCCCTTTCTTCCCTTCCAGGCCTAAGGGAGAGGGTGGAGGGAGGAGGTGCCACCTTGATTAAGGCTAATTAACCCTTAGCCTGGCAGGCGGGCGGGCGGGCGCTGCCCTCTTCAAAGGCATAGGCAGGCTCCATTAACACCCGCACCCTGCTCTCCCCACACAGCCTTCTGCGTCCAACACTGGACTCAGCATCTCTGCACAGGGCCTGGCCTCTCCTGAGCAGCCCAGACTTTGGCCCTGGCCTCCCCCCTGGTCTCCAGGGCTTTCCCTTCCGGGGGTACCACAAACCCACAGGCTGTTCCTTCTGTCTAGAAAATCCTCTCCAACTCCTCCCCTTGCCGCCCCCCCCCCAACAAGGCTCAGCTCAAGGCCCTCCTCCTCCAGGAAGCCTTCCAGCCCCACCATCCCTCCCTGTGCACACATGCTGCCTTCAGGAAGACTGACTGTCATCCTTGGGCTGCAGCTGTAGCTGCAGGGGACCCCCTGCAGGGCTCAAGGTAGGGGCTTGGAGATCTCTCTGGGTCCCCTATATTGTTCCGCTCGATGCAGGATGCTGCGGAGGCATCGGGCACTGTTTGTGGACTGAATAGTAGACAGAAGGTAGGATGTAGACAGAAGAGGGTAGCAGGGGAGGGAAATGAAGGAGCAGAAGGAACAGGCAGAGGGGCCTGGTGCTAGCAAAGCCCAGGGCCCCAGATGTGGGACTGTCACTTCCCCCAGACCTGCGATGGCTCCTCTGGCCCCTCCTCAGTCCTCATCAGGCTGTCAGGGTCGCTGGCATGCCCCTGCCTGTCCCTGCCCCAGGACGGCCTCCTCCCCAAGGCTTCTGGACATGCTCTCTCTGTAAATCCCATATCCCCTTGGATCGGGGCTCCAGAGACCCAGGACCCCATACACTCCAGGAAACGCAGTGTAAACAATGTTGTTTCAGGCAGGAGGAGGCTGGAGGTGTTGTAGGGGGTGGGGGTGGGGGTGATCCTGGCCCAACACCTAGTGTAGGATCCTTTCCACTTGACCAAACTGGCAGCGGAGAGAACTGGGACCCAGAGAGGGTGAGCAACCCGCCCGTGTCACACAGCCGGGTGCCCACAAGCGGGCTGCGGGGCCCGGGTTGGGTGGGGCTGGACTTGGCAGGAGAGGTGAGAAGAGGGTCAGGGTGCCGTAGCCGGGGGCGAGCTGATGTAGAGGTCAGGGAAGGAAGGGCTTCAGAGGATTCTGTCGGACAAGGGCAGGGGCTTCCAGGGCCACACAGCCACCAGGGGTGAGGGGGGACCACATGGTGGGGAGAGGAGGTCAAGGGGCCAGGACCTGCTGACACAGAAGCATCCTGCCAGGTAGGAGGGAGAGGCTCGTTGTTTTGGAGGAGGCTGTGAGCCTGCAGATGAGCTCACACTCGCCTGCTGAGTGGCGTGTCCCAACAGGGCCCTTCTGACAGGAGCTCAGCTGTTTTGCATCACGGAGACAACTGCCTGGAGCTCCTGGGGGGGGACCCCGCCCTGAGGATGGGTGCCAGGGGCCGGGAGCCTGAGGGGAGCTGGGGGTCAAGCCAGGCCCCGGAGGCTGGGCCCCTCAGCCAGCGGAGTGGGGGGGCCACATGGCTCGGAGGGACACAGGCCCATGCACCCCCAAAGACTCCCTGGTACTCTCCGAGTCCAGGGATGGAGGGCTGGGCCACACACAACCCTGCCCATCCTGGAGTGGGGGGGGGCATTAAGGAGGAGTCTGCACTGTGGGAGGAGTCTGACCATGATCCCCTGTGGGAGGCTGAGAGGGGACAGAGGCTCATTCCTTGGTCTGGGTTATCAAGGAGGGCTACACGGAGGAGGGGACAGTTGGGCAGAGTCTACAGAGATCAAGGGGTGACTCATTAACAATGCTACGAGGAAATGGCAGCAGCTCTGTGGCCTGAGCGGGACCCCCTGGAGAGCTGGCTTGGGGCCCTCCTTGGGGCAGCCCGAAAGCATCAGGAGGGGAAGACAGAGAGGTCTCTGGGACGGTTGGGGAAGGGGCCCTGAACCGGCAGGGAGTCCTTCAGAGACGCAGCTCAGAGTAAGATGAGGGCCGTGACCCTGAAGCGGTGGCCGGAGCCACGTGGGAGGCGGGCTGGCCCTTCCTCCAGCCTGCAAATTCCTTCTTACCCTCGAAGCCCCCTCTGGTGGGACCTCAGGGGCCTCCACCGTGTGGCCGCGGAGACCCAGGCCCCAGCCTGCCCCCCCCTTACCGGCCCACCAGCAGCAGCTCCCGCTCGCCGGCGCGGGGCCTCAGCCGCCTCCAGATGTCCATGGTGAAGAGCGTGCTGCTGCTGTTGAAGATGGAGGTCAGCGATGACATGAGTGCGGCCATCATCAC